TAGTTGTGTTAAAGTCCTGGTTAGAGAGCTGGATGCTTCCTCTGGGCCTCTCAGGAAAAGTGTGTGGGGATAGGCGGGGGTTCAGCTCGTTTTCTTTGTGGTGGTGGTTTGTTCCATGAAAGGGATCCTTTCTTTCCTGCTCTGGCAGCAAATGGAGGAGATCTGGCGCGAGATGCGCTGGATGATGGATGCCCTGCAGCATGCCCGCTACAAGCAGCCCTCCTGCGGCCTGTCCCTCAACGGCTTCCTCAGCACCTCCAGCGGAGCCATGAAGGAGAAAACCCACTCCTCCTCATCCCACCTCGACTTCCTTCCCTCCCCAGCACCCTCACCAGACAGCAGCCGTAAGCTCAGCTCCGGTAAGGATCTGGCACCGCACGGCTCCAGCAAGCTGCAGACACCCAGCGGCCAACAGCCCCTCTGTGCTTCCCCCGCAGACCTGCACGGGCTCTCGGATGAGGAGGGCTCCTCCGAGGTGTTCCTGGCCACTGACAGCGACTACGACTCCAGTAGGGCGCAGAGCCCCAAGGAGCTGGACCTGGTGTCCTTGGGGCCTGAGTGCTGCGGGCGGCGGGCGGCACGCAGCCTGCGGGACAGTGCCCCTGACGTCCTGCAGAGCCACGAGCTGCAGCCCGCACCGCTGGCCCCACCGGAGCCCCGGCCGCCCCCAGAGCTCTACGACAGCGACTTCGTGCTGCCCAGCCGGCAGATCGAGCTGCTGCGCGTCACGGAGAAGCGGCAGGCCTACTGCGTGCGGACCAACAGCCTGGACTTCCCCAAGCCTCTCTGCCCGGTGACCAGGAAATCATGTCCCGGTTCTGTCGATAGCTCCCCGACGGAGAGCAGGACCGGCGGGCACGGCGGTCAGGGCAGGCCAGGGACTGGCTCCACGCACAGCCCCGAGCACGGCCGCACACGCTCGGCCGAGTGGACTCCGAGCTTCCAGGAACCTCCAGAGCAACCCGCTGGGAAGAAGCCAGGCTCTGTCACCTTGCGGGTCTGCCCTCAGTACGAAACCGGACTCTCCAAAGAGACCAGTGTCAAGGTACCGGCGCCCGCTGAGGGCAGCGGTGTGGCTGTGCCGTGCCCAGGCAGGATGGGGGAGGATGGCACCATGTGTGGCCCTTGCCTGGCTCTGCCCTCTGCATCCTCTGCTGTGCAGGAGGTGCCCCGGCTGCTGACCCGGCTCCTGTCCACCCCTGCTGCAGGATGGGGTTTCCCGCGGCCCCAGCAGCTCGGCCCACACTGCTGAGAGCCCGGGCTAGGCTGTAAGGGATCCGAGGGGGGATGGCGGCTAGGTGGTGCCATGCAGGGCTCCACGGCCTCTGCTCCTCTGCTCCATCCATGTGTGTGCACCCTCAGAGGTGCAGGAAGAGCTGTGTCCCAGTGCAGGGCTCTGCCCCGCTCAGTTCCCTGCAGGCAGAGGGGCGGATGGGAGCTCTGGTAGCTGGATTCTCTTCACCCGGCAGGGATGGTAGAAGCTGACTTGCGGAATTTATTTTCCATTTAAGAAAGTCCCATAGATTTCTATGCAACTGAAGCGCAGCCCCGGGTTCCTGGCAGGCTGCCCACATGGCATTTGAAGTTGCAGAGCTCAGGACACGCCTGCTTGACAGCGTTTTAAGATGTTCTCCTCGAAGAACTGAGTTCAAAGGAGAGGCTCCTGGCTGGCATAAATCAGCAGAGCCCCTCGATGAGAGCTCGGAGCCACAGTGTTCATGTGGGCTGAGGGCCGGGACCACCCGGCCGGGCACAGCGCCGCGGCTGGCAGGGATGTACCGAGGGATCCGCCTCTCCCCGGCGGTCTGCCCCGTGCTTCCCTCACCGCCCATCTCCCACCTCTGTCTCTCTGCAGCTACACGTCACCAGCCAGACGTCGGCCAGCGAGGTGGTGAAGCTGGTGGTGCTGCAGATGAACGACGTCTCCCACGGCGCGCTGGGTGGCTTGGCCGCCTTCTGCTACAGCGAGGAGCAGCTGGAGCACTTCGGACTGGTGTTTGCCTCCGAGGAGGGCGAGCGGTGGCTGCCCGATGAAGCGCGGCCGCTGGCCCTGCAGGCTGCCCGGCCCGAGGGACGCTTCTACGTCCGCATTAAGGAGACGTCGCCGCTGGTGCTGCAGTTCGGGCCGGCGACCACCGTATGAGCACAGCCCACGGCAGACGGCGCGTCTCTGATGCTTCCTTCTTCCACGGACACCCTCCACCAGGCGTCCGCAGGGTGGAATGGGATCATACTGGGCTGTGTGTTTCTTGTCGGTGTTCCTTTTTTCCTTTCTTTTTTCTTTTTTTTTTTTTTTTTTTTTTAACCAAAGAGACATCGAGACTCGGTTGTTCTGACTGCAGAAGGCGAGGGTGGAGCGCGAAGACCTCAGAGCTTGGGAGGAATCTTTGCAGGAATGGAATATTTGAAAGCAAACATTTTTAAGGGGAAGGCTGGGAGGGGGATGGAAAAAGAGAGGACAAAATATTATGAGAAGAAGCAGCAATACTCTTTTTTAAATTATTTTTCCGCTTCTTTTTCTTCTTTTTTTTTTTTTTCTGGACATCCTTGTCAAGGGTTGGCAGAAGGAAGACCTGCAGGACGCTGCTGGTAGAGGCTGTGGTGTTGGTGCACGGGAACGGCACTGGGATGGGAGTTTATCTCCTACCCATCCTCATTGCACTGCACCCGGAGAACAGCTCTTGCACACCCTTCTCAGAACAAAATGCTTTCGCTTCTTCTTTTCTTTCTTTTTTTATTTTTTTTCCTGAAAGAAACAAACAAAAAAAACCAACCTGTGCTAGAGACACTGGAGTTGTGTAGGAGGTGTGGACACTTTTATTGTTGTAGAGGCCGAAGGAAGGCACGCCGACAGCCCCACACACGTGTATGGAGCTGTGCCCACACCACCACGCCGGGTTTGCTATGGGGCACGGCTGCAGCGCACCCAGCACCGCCGCGGGACTGCCTTTCCTCCTCGGTTGCCGTTCTGTCCTGGTGATTGTGAGTGGCCTCTTGTATGTCCTACAGCATGACACTTAGCACCTAGGTCTCTTGTTCCCAAGGTTATTTTTCTGATCTCCTGTGGTCCATAGTAAAGGTGACTGCTGCTGACCGTGTATCGCTGTCTCCTTGTGGCCTGATGGGCAGCGCCTGCTCCTTCACCCCATATTAACCCCATATTAACCCCCCTTTCAGTGGCTGGGCTAATCCTTCCCAGCAGTGTTTAATGGGATGCTCCCAGCTCAGCAAAGGTTCATGTCGCTCCATGTGCACAGTGTGCATGGGAGCAGCATTAGAGGTATCCTGTCCCAGTCTGGTGCCGGAAGCCCAATGGCTGCAGGCCCAAGCCCTGCAGACATGTCACTGAATTCATGGGTACGGTTCTGCAGCCTCCATGGGGTGAGCACACAGAGCAGAGCATGGCCACATGCACCTCAGGGGACACCCAGATCTGGGCAGCAGTGAGATGGCACAGCTGATGCCCGGCTCCTGACAGCCCTGGGCTGAGCTCAGCAGGGCAGTGTGCATCTTCTCACGTTTTGCTCTTCCTGAATGTCTCGATGGGCACATCACTGTGTTTTCTTCCCAATGGATCCTGAAGCCCTTTGGTGCCCTCCTGGCCTTGCAGGGGCAAACACTGGGTTGGCCCTATGCGGGGCAGGTTCCACACTAAAACTCAAAGTGCTCAGAGCTGTGGTGCTGTAGGAGCCAGGACCAGCCTGGAGCCAGGCTCTGCATCTGGGACGTTGATGTTACACCTTTTGGGGCTGTTACACGCACAGCAGGGTCTTGTGGTTGGAACACAGTACCAGGGCATGGTGGATTCTGGCACTCAAAGCCACATGGGGCAGGTGGGGTAGACGTTCTGCCTTCAGTTGATCTAGAGAAAAGGTCCCCCTGCTCAGTGCTAATGGCACAGGTGACACCAACTCAGCAAGCCACTTTCCAGTGGGTTCCAATTCCATATTTGTTCTTTCATGTGTGCCATGGAAGCAGGTCCTCAGAGCACCAGTCCTCAGCTCTGCTTCCTCCCACTACTGGGAAGTGCTGGAGCTGGGAGAAGCATCATTGTTTTGTTCATCACAACCCCTTTTTTCTGGTATTTCAACAAAAGAAGGATGCTGAATTGCAGGAGGGACCCAGGGGCCTGTTGCATATCAGCGTCACGAGGTGCAGATGTCCCAGTTCCAACAGTGCCCTTGTCCCCAGCATACCCACCATGGGCTGCATGTGTCCCAGAACAAGTGCTGCACCCAGCAAGGTCAGCACTCACCTACGTGCCCCAAGCCCAGGACTGCTCCATGCACTGTGGCCATCGGCTGCCATCCCCTCTGGCATCATGCACATGTACACAGCCCTCACACAGCCCTGCGTCCCATTGGGGGCCTTAAACATCTTAGATACCCTTAAGCATTTCCTCCAGGTGAGGGCTGATGTGAGCAATACTCCTTGGGGTGAGAAGGGCAGCAAAGTGCTGGGGGGTCACCAGCGGCTCACCGAGCACCAACCTGGACCCAGGAGAAGTGTTCTGCTGGCTCAGCTGCTGCTGTTCAGCCAGCACATTGTGTGCTCTGAGATTTCCCTGAGAGCAGCTGGATGCTCCCATCCTGGACACCCCGAGCACCAAAAGGTGATGCTGCAGAACGCTTTGTGCTTGGTGAGGGTGCCTGCATCCTTATCCACTCCTGTCATCAGCAGCAGTTGCAAGCAGATCAGTGCAGGCAGAGGTTTGGCCAGGTTGGCAGCCAGGCTTTCTCTTCTGCTTTGAGGTAGACCCAGGTCCAGGAGCTCAGCAGGAGAAAACTGGCGCCATTCCACAAAGGCAAATGGGGCTGTATTAATTCAGAGTGCCAGGAGAGACATCACCGCACGGTGCCTTGCTTGCATTGCACAGATTCATAGCAGTAAACCTGAAATGTGACAGTCTGAATTTCCGGGGGGGGGCGGCCCCCCAAATCAGGAGCTTGTTGGCACCAGTTCTGAGGCATCTGCATTTCTTTTCTCCCATCCAAGGGGGAGTTGCTCAAACAAATCCAGCTTTATTTTTCCCAAGGTTTGGCTCTCTGAGGCTGAGACGTGGGGTTTTTGTTGTTGTTTGCTTTGGGTTTCTTTTCCCCGGGACACTTCTCTCTTGTGTTCCCACTGAGGAATTTCTTGCCTTGGTTCTGGTTTCTGGGGAAGGCTGAGGAGTTTCCCTTTCTGTTAAGGCAGCTGCAATGTCCGCAGACAGGAGATGCTCTCAGCCCACCCCAAGACATGCTGCAGCAGAGGAAGCCTTCCTTCCAGCTGCCTCAAACAGGAGGTGAGAAAACGAGCAAGAGCCACACCAGCACCTGAAAGGAGTGGGGCAGATCCAGGGCTGGTCTGGCACTGCGTAATGACGAACTTAATTATTGCTCTATCAGCTGCAGGAACTCTGTGCAATTCCTGTTGCAGCCACTGCTTACCCAGGTAATAAATAGAACCGCTATGTCACGGAACTGCGCGGTGCTCGGATGGGTGCCGGGGAGCCGAGGGCTGCTCAGTGCCCACACTTTCCATCCTGGCACAGATGCTCACAAGGACAGAGCCCGGCGTTCCTGGACAGGCTGGGTTTCTGAGGGAAGCCACACGCCGCCGAGCACTGTACACTGTGGGCAAAGCCACTTCCCATGGGCAGCTGGGCTGGACAACGCCAGTTTTACACCGAGATTGTAATTTCCCAACCACAGAGACGCTTGGGAGGGTGGAGAAAGGAGTCCTGTGGTGGGAAGCCCCGGCTGCTTCGGTGCGTCTGGGATTCCTGGCCTGAGGTTCCCCAACACCACCCGAGGGCTGGGCAGCATCGGGGCTTTCCAGCTCAGGAAGGCTCCTGGGATGCAGGGAAGTGGTCTGTTCCCAAAGTGACCTGGAAACTAAAACATCGTACAAACAGGGGCTGACACAAAAGTGAAAACTGGGGAGGAAACCATTGCTTTTTATATTTTCTATTTCATTTTGTTCTCCTATTATTTTCTGCTTTTAAAGAACAACAACAACTAAATAGACATTAAACAGACTCATTTTCATATTAATGAAAAAAAAAAACCCACCAAAAATATACCAAGTGCAGGCACAGGACAGTGTGAATGTTGACAAGCTGGTTCTAGCTCATGAACTCTGCAGAATACATTTGTTGAAACCAACAGTCCTTTTTGAACATTTATACTATGGCTAAAATGGTGTTTCTACTGGGAAGAAAAAAGAAAGACCCCAAAAATAATGTGTTGGAACAACTTTTTTTGCTATGATTTTCCCTCAAGCCCCAGATTAATCATAGAATCATAGAATGGTTTGTATTGGAAGGGACCTTAAATGGATTTAGTCCCATCCCTGCTGTGGGCTGGCCGCACCAAGGCACCCAAAGCTCTGGGCAGCAATGCCAGCACTTCACCACCCTCTGGGTGAAGGATTTCTTCCTCACATCTCACCTAAACCTCCCCTGGCTTAGTTTAAAGCCATTCCCCCTTGTCCTATCTCTATCAGACTGCATGAAAAGCCACTTCCCCTCCCCTCCTGTTGATAAGCTCATTTCAAGCATTGGAAGGCTCACAATGAGTGAGAGATCCATCTGGGATTCCCCAACCCCAGTGCAACACCCTGCACTGGGCCTTGCTGAGCATCATGTTCTCGTGTCGCTGCTTTTCGAGCCTGTCCAGGTCCCCCTGGATACCGTCCCCAGGTGCACTCAGTCCCACTGCACTGCCTGTGTCATTGATGAAGGTGTTGAAGAGCATCAGTCCCAGGATGGACCCCTGGGGGACACCCTTCCTGACCAACCTCCACTTGGACGTGGAGCCATTGACCACAACCCTCTGGCTGTGACCATCCAACCAATTCCTTATCCACCAAATAGTACACCCTTCAAATCCATCTCTCTCCAGGTTAGGGACAGGGATGTGATGTGGGAACATATCAAAGGCCCCACACGAGTCCAGGCAGATGACATTATTTGTCCCTCTTTTGTCCACCTATGGCATCACCCCATCCACGAAGGCCACCAGCTGGCTCAGGCATGATCTGCCTTTTGTGAAGCCATGCTGGCTATCTTGAATCACCTCTGCATCTTGCATGTGCCTTGACATTTCTTCCAGGAAGATCTGTTCCACTATCTTCCCAGGCACAGAGATGAGGTTCACCAACTTGTAGTTCCCCAGGTCTTCCTTTCTGCCTTTCCTACAAATGAGAGTGATGTTTCCCTCTTTCCAGTCACTGGGGTCCTCAACTGACATCCATGACTTTTTGGATATGATGGAGACCAAACCCTGATCAGGTGCTGCTGTGGTTTGCAGCTGAGCATTATGGTGGGAGAACGTGTGGGGAGAAGTTATTTCCCCAAATGTCACAACGTTCCTGGCCCTACACCACCGTCCCTGATGCTCTATGAGTATTAAGAAAAACTGTGGTCTCATTTCCATCTGTTGGTGCGGACAACAGCTGGAACACCAGCAGGGCAGGGCTCCTGGAAGCCCATGGATGAAATAAAGTAGAGGCAGAAGATGCATTGGAGAGCCTCTAGGAAATATCTATCTGGACAACGCTGTGGTCTCGTTTCCTTCCAGATGACTTTTCCAGCCTTCATGCTTTGCTAGATTAACTCCAGGTCATGCCTCAGCAGCTCAATGGGGAGATGCTCTGGGCACCTGCAGGACCTGAGGTGGCCCACAGGGACCCTCAGTAAGCACATGTGCAGCATGTCCCTCATTGTGTGCCGTGGCTTGGGTCCTGTTTTTTGGCCTGGACTGTGATGGAAGGACACTTGCTCTCTCCTTTTACAGCCTTCTCCAATTCCATGTGTAGCTGGTAGAGGACAAGCCAAGCCCTTTCTCAGTTTGTCACCAATTGCAGGCAACTTCACAAAGCCCAGCTCCGTTGCGCCGTCATGCTCTGGCTGGAAGCAGCTTTGATCTGGGTGTTTAATGAAGACGTTAATTGATAGCACGTGGGGAGGAATTTGAGCTGCTCAGAGCTGTCTTCCAGCCTCTCAGATCCCAGAGCCATCATCCCCTTCAAAACAAAACAGAAGAGTTATTACAAAACAAATCATGTTTGTATAGACGCTTTAAAAAAGTCCTCTCCAGCTCTGCTAAGCTCATATTCCTGGCAGTGCTGAGCCAAAGACACCATGTGCACCGTTGAAAGCCTTCAGCAAATTAAACCAGCATCCACGTGAGGAGGAACAAGGCGCTGCTGTCCCGGTCCCATCCTGGCCAAGGCGGAATGAGATGCGCCGTGGGGCTGTGGAGTTGCTCCTGGCAATGCGCATCTCCACGGCCAGGATGCAGAGGAGACCACAGCCCCAGCACATTGGGGAGCTGGAGGCGTATCAGCGCTCAGCTCCGCGCATTCTGGCAGCCATGGCTCACTGCAGATGCTGTCCTCCCTACCCAGACGTGTGCAAATCCCAGGCAGCGCCAGGCCCCGCTCAGCTGGAGCGTGCACCCTTCCGGACACGCTGCTTCTCCAAGCGCACAGAGCATCCAGCTCTGGCCGTGGCTGGCAGATGTGCTCCTCGCAGACGGCCTATGGGTTACTTCGTGGCGGCCAAACGTGGCCCCACTTCCTGACTCTGTGATCTTGCCTGGATTGGAAGATGCTCCAGTTCCCTGCCTCGCAGAGGTACCTGCAGCCCCGCCAGCCATGGTAGGACACTGCGCTTCGAGACCTCTCCCCCCCGGCAGATTGGGTTGGAATTGGCTTGTGGACTCAGAAGTTATTAGGAACAGACACCCCCAGACAATGTGATTGCACAAGCTTCATTTCCTTAGAAAAGCAGGCCAGCAGCGCAGGAGTCCGTCAGTAAACATGTTGATTCCAGGGGCTCTTCTGCAGCATGCATGGAGGAGCAGAGCGCTGGCACCCAGCCCACACCTGTGTGTGTGCTGCTGAGCGTGGGGACGTCAGGGCGCAACAGGATGTGCCGTGTTCAAGCCAAAGGTGCCCATGGCTCCTGGCAAATCCCGACAGCCCGCATGCCCCAGTGCAAGCGGAGCAGGTGGCAAAGTGAGCTGATAGCTCCTGTGGCACGTGGTTTGTGAGGAGCACCAGTGGGGTGGGCTTGGTCCCATCCTGCCTCTTGGTCCCTCTCGGGCACTCCGCCACGGCCTGGGGTGGCTGAGGCACAGCACCACACTGCAACCCATGCTCGCACCCCAAGTCCTCCATCCTTCTCCCTCAGCAAGATGCAGGAGCAGCAGATCCCAGCGGCCTTGCAGCCCAGCCCTGCTATGCAGCCCATTTCCACCCAGGGCTGGGGTCCATGGGGATTTTCTGCCCATCGGGGCCCCGTGTCTCCCGGCTCGGCACTGTGGCCTCCCCTCCGCCGGGCTGGAGGACAATCTCTTGCAACACTGGAATGCTCTGAAGTCATTACCTCCCTCTCTAGAAATTTTTGGGGTCAGAGGACATGAGTCTCAGTAATCGTCCAACAACGTCAGTGGAGCCCCGTTGATTTACACCAGCTGAGGATCAAACCCCTCCCTTTCCTCTCCCATATTTAAGATATTTTCCAGACTTCAGACACTTTCAGAGGAGGGAGTTGATGACTCTTGGGTTGTTGAAGAGGTTCCAGCTTTGGTTCTGGCCTGGCTTAGCACGATGGTGGCTACCCACACTGCATTGACTGTCGTTTCCCTCACAGCCCCCTTGAGGACATCCCTGTGTGCCCTGGCACTGCTCTGTAGCTCACTCTGGACCCTCCTGGCTTCTCTGTCCCTCCAGCCACGGTGAGATCTGGCTCACCACAGTCCAGCAGGGACACCCCTCCCCTCCTCGAGCCCTTCCCCAGCAGGATCCTGCAGTCATGGAGCAGTGCCAGGAAGGGTCCCAGCCCCACACCAACCTACACCCGGCATCAGCAGTCCTGCACAGCACCACCAAGCTCAAGACGTGCCCAGAGAAGAAGCCCAAGCTGTGGGCCACCTGGACACGATGCGAGACAAAAGCACTCGAGAGCAGTGCGTCGACCTCAGCTTCGGCACACAGCAGTGAAAGTTTCCTCTGAGCCCAGTGTTTTGGTCCGGGCAGCTGAGCCAATGTTGAGGGGAAGCACAGTTAATATTGCTGATAGCTGGATCCAATTTATAAGGCGCTCAGCAGAGACAATCATCAGGGAAGGAGACAAATAATCTTTAGGCAATTAAATTTAATTGTTCCATCTGAAGATTATTTATCTCCTCGCCTGATGAATGTCTCCTCGAAGCGCCTAATAAATTGGATCCAGCTATCACTGATAGTGACTGCTTTCCCCTGGCAGAGGGGAAGGGTGTGGAGAGCAGAGCAGCGCTCAGCTCTGTGTGTTGCTTAAGATCTGTCACCTCGAAACATCTTTTTAGCAGACTTGAAAGTGTCCGCAGGCTTTATCAGCGCGCTGCCTTTGTGCAGAGAGCTTGGCAGCCCAGGGCTGGAGCGTGCAAAAGCTCCTGGACAAGGCGCAGGGTGGAACGGGATCCCACAGGCTGGGTTTTAATGTCAGGCACCAGCAAGGACTTGGAAAGCTCTCTGTGTCTGTCTGTCTCCACTTCATTATCCTTGGGCCTGCCTGCTCATAAAGAGGGCTTCGAGGAAGCCTCAGCTTGTGCCCTCCCCTTCTGTGTCCCCAGAGTGGGGCTCAGAGCTAGGTGCAGGCTGCTCCGCAGTGCCCTTCCCTCCCACCACCAGCACTCCGCTGCCCTTGCAGCAGCCCTTTTTCTTCTGGCTGCTTGCAGCCATTGGCTACTGGCTATTTGGGGATGTGCCCGGCTGACCCATCGTGCGCCGTGGGGCTGCCCAAAGTGAGGAAAGTCACCAAAAGCAGCACAGCCGGGAGTTTTCAGGAAGGGCATCAGTGAGGGGCATAAAGCTCCCATCCCAGGAGCTGCAGCAGAGCACAGAGCCTTCGTTTGTGATCCCATCATCACCTGGACCAGGAGCCCTCCAGTCTCATCTCACCACGGCTGCACACAGGCGCGGGGCCGCGGTCTGTGGGTGTTCTGCGGGCGCGTGTAGCATTCCACAATCGGGGCTCTATTCGCCATCCAACGGCTGAATAGTTCAGTAGTATTTAATTACCATACAATAACTGTCCCATTGAATTTGATGGAATACATCATTTTGGAATGCTATTTACAGTGCTAGTTTTCTTACAGAAATCCATGTGTCAGAGCTTTCACCATTATTATAGACTTTAA